AGGGCCCATGAAGGGCCCACGTGGGCTGTGGCCCTACATGGGCAAACCCATGTGGGACCATCGTGGAACCCGCAGACAAACCCATATGGGACCCATATATCAGCCCTCCTTTCCCCCACATGGGTCCCACCTAGGCATGCAGGCTGGGATAGTTTCTGTCATATTAGTTCTTCCTGTTTTCTGAATAGTTTGTCTGGGTTATTCCTGTCAGTGTGTTTTTATTTTGATTATTTAATTTTTGTTAATTTGTTAGTGCTGACACATAATGTTCAGACTCATATTTATTTTCAGGTCTAACCATACCGGTTTGTTTCTTTATGTCTAATTTCATAGTTTATTTTTGAGTTTGACTGTTGTATTGTTTTATTATTCCCTTTACATTGCTCCTGTGTCTTGGATTCCTTATTATTATTCATGCTCATTAGGTTCATTAGATCTATTTGGGTTTGCTGGTTTTTGTACTGTTATCTTCTAGAATGGGTTGCTATACTTTTTCCTCATTTTATTTTTTGTTGGTTGCTGTTTTATTTAGTCTCAGTTCAGATTCCATATCTCCTACCTCAGTTTCCCTGCCACTTTCCTTAATTAGGCTGCATTCACACAGCAGGTCGTAATCCTCAATCCTGATTTTGTTTACTGAAATCAGACTTTTTTTCTTGGTAGTTCATAGTAATTAAATATGATTTTAGTGTGAATTGCTTACTGCCCAAAAGGGGGGTAAGCAAAAGAAAAACATTAGCATAAGAAAAACATTGACGAGAGTATTCTAGATTGTAGATCATAACATGAAAGACGCTAATAAAAACAAGGCACAATTAATGGCAATGGTACCTGAAGAGTCTGAAGGAACTGGTGGTCAATTGTGGTCTTTTAAATTATGTTAGTTGCCATCTTATTGGTTAAAATTCAAAAAACCGCTATTATTGTCCAATATATAGAAAATTATCTTTCTATATATTGCATAATTTCTGGTAGTGAAAAAACATGATTACAAGGGTTTTAGTAATCTACTTTAGTCACGTTAAATCAATGCAAGAAATATGAAGCCAAGGCATAAATTCAAATGGAAGACTCCTCACCTGCATCATCCAATCGCTGCATCACGTTCATCCGTCCATAACCTATTGATATCAGACTATGCCCCGTCATAGCCAATAACCAATCAAGGTTCCATTCAAAAGGACTTTCATCCATGGCATCATCTACTTTACAGCCATGCTCAAGCAAGTTGGTATGCATTCCTCATGTCAGACTTCGAGTCTGATAATCCAGCCAATTCTTCAGTCATCTCCCTCAGGCACCCAGTCTTTCTACCTCCTGTCCTGCTCTCCGCAGCGTTCACCTGGCTGCACACCTCCAGTCTCCACTCTCACTCTCTCGCTCCAAATTCGATCTCCGAAGTGTCCGGTTCTTCTTCAGGTCATCACTCTTCATCTCCCCGCCCTACTGCCCGAGCTCATCTCCTCTCATCCTCACTCATCACCTCCATGGACTTTCTCCAGCATTCTATAACCATGCTCTCAACTCACCTGGACCATTGCAGCTGACATTGCCATGCCTACAATTCCTTTCACTTCTGCACCTGTCATCACCCCCCATGGCTTTCATCCTTGCCAACACCAGTTCTGTGCCTGGCCTAGGTAAGAGTATCTTTTCATGCTTCTTCCCTTCTTATATTTTCTCTCCAGGTCATTAGTTTTTTCTCTCCCTGCCCTTATCAGGTGTGGCTTATACACCTATGCATTCAAATGTCTCACCCAGGCTATGTGCAAAAATTTTACAGGGGCCATATGTTAATGCTCCCACCTTCCTCTGTAGTTGATCAATGTGTTGCATCAACTAAAAAGTTTTCTGCTATTCTCAAATCCTCAGACCCTCACTTTTTGAAAGATCTCTCAATCGTGCAGTTTTTAGCTATGTTCAGTGCTTTCAGAGATGTAATCTGTTCTGTATTTCCTGATTGCAGAATCAAATTAGATGCTTATCTGACTCTCATCGCTGATCTCCATCTGAAATATGGTCGGTCCTTATTTTATCAGTACCACAAAGCATTTGCAGACAAAGCCGTCGCAGTCTTCTCATGTTCCGGTCTGAACCTTAACTGGTCTATTCTAGACATAGAACTTCTCATTATGCTCACCCAAGCAGTTGTCGTAGTGTCCCTAGTAGCAGGCCATCATCTTTAGCAGGCCATCATCTTCCAGCGTCACATCGTTTCACATTATTGCAGCATCCCTAATAGCTGGCCTTCATCTACCAGTATTACATCATTTCATGTTATCCTAGTCTCCCTAACAGCTGGTCTTTATCTGTCAGTATCTCGTCTCACGCCTTCTAAATTTCCATTCATACTCCCTAGCCACCAACCTCTCTCCAACACCTTATTATTGCCCTTATCTACATTCATCTACACCATGCCTGTAATTTTCAGTCCGTAAAGTCTCACATTAGCTTAGTTATTTCCTTTATTATTTATCCTCTCCCTCCCTTTTCACTGAGTCTTGGCCTGGTCCCCAGCCTTGACACTCACTTTAGGGGGAAAGACGTCTCAAAACAGCATCTTAAATGCTCATCCAAGCTTATTGCCATTCACAGCACAATGTCTTCTGCTGAGGTCTGAATGCCAAAGAACTTTATGTTAATAAAACTTTTTAATTGCTGTTTTTCTCTGCGTGAGTTTCATGCAGTCTCTGGAGAGACGCCTAATCTGACGCCTAGGCGTCAGATTAAAATGACGCCTAGGCGTAAATTCAAGTGGAAGACTCTTCAGCCTCACCTGCATCATCTAATCGCCATGTCAAGTTCATCTGCTGCCAGCCTATCAGAGTTGGACCATGCACTGACACAGCCAATCACCAATCAAGCTTCCATTTCTAAGGGCCTTCATCCATGGCACCGTCCACTTTACAGCTGTGCTCAATCCATCTACGACCCTTCTGACTGAAGAGGCCACAAGGGGCAGAAGGCTTCTTCAGCCTGGCTCCTTCAGGTTTCCATCCTTTCTCCGACATCCACCAGCAGTGTATTTCCTGGTTGAAATGAGTAGTTTCTAATTACTCATTACTAATTATTGTTGATAATTAATTAAATTCTACTTTATTTTGATTTTTTTTTTTTACTTTTTTTTTATTAAATAAAAACGTCATCACCTCATGCATCAGGGAAGAACAACAATATCATAGCGGAGTGGTTAACAGCCATGGAGACTTCTTTAAAATCCACCCTACAAGTGGCTGGCTACGCTTTGGCTCCGGGAAACTAAACCTGACAAAAAGGAAAACCACATTCACTGTATATCAGAAAATGCTGAGCAATGACACAGACATCCACCACAGTCAGCTAAAGTCTTGTCCTCACCTTTCTCTGTCTGCCTCTTCTCCCAAAAGGCCAACTGACTGACTCTGCCGAACACTGACACGATGACTTCTCGACGCCTCACAAAGTGGCCGTTGGAGCTGTCATATCACCTCATGCTTCAGGGAGGAACATCAATATGACAGCACAGTGGTTAACAGTCACAGAGACTATGTGTGTGTTTGTCATGAGGTCAAGAAGAGTTGAAGCTTCCTGAGAATAAAAAACTCTGGTTTTTATGATCTGACTTGTCTTTTAAAGATGGTTGAAATGCATTGGTTTTACCGGCCAAAAACAGCCATACGAACGCTTTTTGTCTTTATATAAATCAAAGCGATTGTTTAATGTGTGAAGCTATTCATATTTTCATATTTTGAAGGCAGGATGGTGTGCAACAATTTCAGTGACCAGGGCTGCTCTGTCTCCAGCTGCAGGTTGTTGCAGTGATTACCTCATTAATCATCATGTTCGTGGGTAGGGCATATTAGGCAGCAATCATTTTTATTTTCAATCTTTTTGTGTTAAAACTAGGAAGAAAATGGACAACCAAATAGGTTTGGAGGAGTTTGAAAAGGGTCAGATGTAATGGGTAGATGATGAGGTCAGAGACTTTCCAAAACTGAACCTCAACGAAGAAACCAATGGGCCAAGGTTCATTTTTGCCTGTGAACAATTACACAAAACAGTTAAAGGCTCGGACAAGGATGAGGACAATTTCACACTGAGTGACCACAGATGAAGAATTTATATAGGGAGCAGCACAGGAGGAAGAAATCAGAATCAGTAGCCAGTAGAAGTGACAGGAATTTTGAGCAGGTGCAACATAAAACACGGGAGGAGCAGGGAACCGGAGGAGCAAGGAATTTGTAATTTAACACCTTGAAATTGGGCCTCTGTCTCTTTAAGAAACTCCTGCTTTTTCTGACACTCTGCCTTCAGGAAGCCATCACAACTGCTACTCTGTTAACTGTTTAGCATTTTTACCAGCATTGCACTGAGAAGTAGCTCCTATAATGAGTTCAGGAGATGCAGAGATGTTTGCTACTTGCTGCTAGCTAGTCTGAAGGAGCTGAGTGGGGGGATCCAAGGGGAAGGCTGCTCTGTGAGGCAGAAGCTTGGAATCTGCAGCTCGGAGGAGGAGCTGCGTCTCGGAGGTGGAGCTAGGGTCACCTAGTTTTTCATAGCTGAATGGTTGGCATGGGACATGAAAGAATTTCTCAAAAATGCATGAAAGAATCAAAGCAATACTACAGGCATACTAGTGACGAGGAAATATAATTTGATACAAAGCTCAAAAAGTAAGTTTTACATAGAGCTGGCCCTTGAATTCAGGCTCTTATGAAAAGGTGACAGAATTTAAAGTGCACAAGAGATTTCTGAGTATGAGGTTAAACAGAGTCAGAGCAGTCAGGGTGGCCATGCTGGTCATAATGTTATTCCTACTCAGTGTTCTTCTGATAATACTTTTTGGATTAAAAAAAATCCTTAAGGTAGTTGCAGTTTACAGAACAACCAGACGGTGGCAATAATATCACGTTTCTTTAAAGCCCTATGCGGTTCGTGTCCTTAAAAATATCGGTTAAATTAATTCATAAGGCTGGTTTCAGTCCATATTACTAAATATCTTCTGCAATTGATCATTTCTTTCACCTAACATTTAGTTTCATTTGGAGGAGTTTTTGACTATCCGGTAACATGGAGTTTTTTGAAAGACCAACACCTGGACGTAAATGTTTGGGAGCAATCTGTCAGGTCTCTTTCAAAAAATTAATTAACTCAGTTGTTTTTAATCCCTGATATCAAAAGACACTAAGGCACGCGACCGCACATCTTTACGCAGGGGGGAAATAAGCATTCACACACAAACACACAAAATCAGCCGCTTAATTGCATGTTTAAAGAAAGGCTCTGCAGCACGCGCACGCGGAGCGGGTGCTGCTCTTTTATTTCCACCTGTTCACAGTTCCGCACGCGCTTACAGCTCTTTGATGTTGCTGTTTATCTGCCCGCGCGCCGCCAAAAAGAGAGAGAGCGAGTGAGCTTTTACGCACGGAGCGCTCGCGCGGAGCAGCCTCACATGACACCGCCGCAGCTCAGCTCAGAGCAGGCTCCGGCTGGCCGCCTTCAGCCGCCGCTCAATGAATGGATTACCCGCACATTCGCTTCACGTCACGGATGATTGTTCCCCCTCATCAGCCGGCCGTCGCTGCGATTCCACGGTCGCCTCGCCAGGACTTGCGGACACTACCATGCGGCGGGGGTCGCTGGTCTGAGAGCGGCTGAAGATTGAGTGGACGCGTGGCTGGCCGTCTGGAGAGCTCTCCGCGAAGTCATGGTGTCCACGGCACCGTGAGAACTTTCCCCCCGTCGCTTCGCTACCCTCCTGTTTTTCCTCGGTTTTAGATGTTCATCAGCGGGCTCGTGCTTCCTCGGAAATTTCTCCCCCGTTTCCCCCGTTAATTATGTTCACTTTTGCTGCTTTCTGCTACATGCTGTCTCTGGTCCTCTGTGTTTCCCTTATTTTCTTCGCAATATGGCCCGTAAGTTTCTTTTTTTTTTTTTTTTTTTTTTTGTCTTTTTCTGTTATGAGAAGTGCAGGTGTGCCTACAGAGGTGTCTGTCAATTAGTCACTTCAAAGGCAGATGTTTACAGTCTTTGTGTTTCAGCGCACCTGTTTCCTTCTATATGTATTCAGCATTACATCACAGTAGTCTCCACATATGGCCACTGTACTCTGACCCAGTTTGACGTTCCTGCGGGGTTTTGTGCCATGTCTGCCAGATCAATTACACAGCTTTCCTCCGAGATCAATTAGGAAATCTTGTAGAGCTTTATCTCTCCGTGCTCCTGCTCTCCCCCTTCTGCCTTTAATCATGCCCGAGCACCAGCATCACTCACTAGTATTGTGATATTTGAATAATCTCTTATTTATTTATTTATTTATTTATTTATTTATTTATTTAGGAGAGGGGGGATTCTTTGAGCAATATCTCCATCATGCAGAGACTTATGTAAAGACAGATTTGGGTCAGAGTCAGCCTTTTGTGTGGAAGCAACACCAGGCCCAATGCACTTGGGATGACCGATCCCCCAGCAGTCCCAACTAATAGTTGGTGTGTGTGTGTGTGTGTGTGTGTGTGTGTGTGTGTGTGTGTGTGTGTGTGTTCAGACGGGGCTCCATGTGTCTGCTCACAGAGCTGAATTAACATTTAGTACGGGGAGGAGACGACCGTGACTACACAGTTGGAGGTGATTATGCAGAAAACTGCAGAACAGACCAGACAGAGTCTACAACACCTTTTAGATTGCTGGCAAATGTCTAAAAACGGGCTGAAACTAGAGCTAGGCAGATTGATCCAAAATAGTGATAATATCGATACCATATATGTATCAGGATTGGATCGATACTATTGTGTACAGGTGGGCAATACTGCCAAAAATATCACGATACATTGTTTAATTTATCAATAATGATATCACAGATAATATTCCACAGTTTCAGCTTTTTTATATTGGACTTATTCAAACAAATATAAAACTTCAAAGCAGTTTTTTTTATGTTCTTTTATATATATTCACCAGAATAAAATATATATTCACATATAAATGTATAAAAAATCAGACAACACGTGTCAAAGAAAATATAAAACAAATAAATTAATATAAATGTGAACTAAATTTGGCCAACAAAAAATCCATCTGAAATCACCTACCAAGTGCAAATTAAAATACTTAAATACACAAATGAAACTGACTGCTGTGGTTCAACAGAACATTACCTTTACAAGATTTTCCACCTTCAAACATTACGTGCAACACTATGAACCTTATGTTAATATGGATGGAACACTTCCTTTTATAATATTTGAACACTGAACATGTCATATAAAAAAACATGCAAACACTTAAATTTTGTGCTCACTTCCTTATCAGGAACTTTGTTCATTTTCATTTCTTCCATCTGTCACAAAAATCTCAATTGAAGTAATTGTCAGTGTTTTGAATTTTAGTTTTATTCTAGATACTTAAGTCTCAGATTCCTTGTTGAGATTTTGTTTTATTTTTACCTTGTAGTTTTTCTTTTTTTAAAAAAAGAAAAAAGATTGTTCCTATTTGCTCTCAAATGATGATTTTTTGCACTTTTGTTTAGGTAAAATTAGTACAAGTCATGTTAATATTTTACTGAAGTATTTTGTAGACACCTGTAAACTTTGTCCACATTCTGTCTTACTACAAAACTACTAAAAATTACGAAGTTTGATATACTGCGCTTAAATAAAAAGTATCAGTATCGGCAATATGGACACTTGGTATCGGACCGATACCAGAATATGCAGTATCACACACCTCTAGCTGAATCAGATTAAAACTTCAAACTTTATTCACATTGCACATTTATTTAGCTTTCTGCTGGAGACGCCAGTGAGAACAGATAGATCTTGCGGACGCAGCGCATCATAAGCTGGGGCTCCATACTGTGAGGAATCATAATTAGGAAGAGGCTGTACAGTGCCAAGTGAGGACGTTAACACCAGCCACCTGCCAAAATATTCCCACTGTTTCACTCCTATCAGTCACTTTTGGCAGAAAACCCTCAAGATCTCATCTGGTTTCAAAGGCCCGAACTGAGGGGAACGGAAAAGGAAAAACCCAAACCAACTCCTGCTCCTGTTTGGCCTCCTGGATGAGGGGTTATGGCAGCAATGCTTAAAAAGAGCAAGTCTGCTGAGTCAAAGTGCCAAAGGCACGATGAAGCTATAAATATAACGAGGGAGTGTAAATTAATACTAGGAGAACCAGAAGATAGAGGAGAACATGCAAAGAAAAGTTAATAGGAACAAATAATGAACGGTCTGACTGAAGCCCATTAGAAGTTCTTTCACAGCTAATATGAGAGGAAAGTCTCTGAAGAGGAAGAGGAAGACAACTGGCTTCACAGAGATGGGCATCTATCAGACGGATCACATAAATCAAGCTCTACAGGCCAGCTGTAATTAACTGCACGGATCGTTGTAATCTGTGAGCTTCGCTATAATACTTGGCTAGAGATCTCCGACAATGTTTGCTGCCACAGGAACACCTTGTAATCAATGAACGGTTTTTGTGTTCACGTTTCCTAAAATACAGAAGTGCTTAAATGCCAAAGCTAGGAAATAAATACAGGAGCAGTATCTTTTTAAAATGAGAAACTTTCTTGTTTTAATGAGACATAAAACTAGATTTATATGTCACTAAAACCTAAATTTGTTCTCATTTAAATGAGAGAGGTTGTAAGAGTTAAATGGCAAACCTCGCAGCTGTTGCCTGTGTCCCTTGCCTCTCTGTCCAAGGAACACATTTTTATGTTGTTAAAATGACAAGTTTTCTCATTATAGTGACATAAAACTCGTATTGATAAAACTAGAAAGTTTATCGTTTTGTATCTCATCATAACGAGTAACAGCTCCTGAATTTATTTTCTGGTCTAACAGTTAAACTTCTATACTGAGATCTATTAAACTGAAGTGTTTTATCTAACATTGTAAGCAAATAAATTGAATAGAATCAATTGTGTTAGAAATAGGCAGAGTGTAGTCCAGTGATTTGAAATAATGAAACAGCACTTTAACTTTACTCAAACATTTTTCACACTTATGATTATTCATCACTCATAAAAATTGCAAAAACTAAGAAATACATGTCATTTCATTAATTCCTATGTTTTTAATCTTATTTTTGTGATTTTTTTGGGGGGTTGTCTTTATAGTATTTTTGTGCATGTTTCAGTGGTTCTTTTAAATCTGTTTTGATGACATGCTAAATTGTGTCTGTGGTAATTTTATGCTTATTGTTGTCATCATTTATGTCTTTTGTGATTGTTTTAAGTCCAAGTGCTGTGAAGTGACCATCATATACTTTGGTTGTTTTACATGTGTCTTTTTTATGTCAGTATGAGTTTTATATATATATATATATATATATATATATATATATATATATATATATATATCTTGATTCTTTTTTTTTCTTGGGTCTGTGTTCATGTATCTTGTAACAAGGTTTTAATTACATTTTGGGATTTTGTAACTTTTCCAGTCAACACTTCAGTGCTGTTGTTTATTTGCTACTTTGTTCCCACAAGTCACAACCAGTTCTTAATATTTTATGGTGACCTACTTAGTCACATAAGTATGTCCTATGCATACTTTTGCTTATTTGTCTGTCTCTTTGCCAAAAAACAAAACAAACAAACAAAAAAAATCTAATTGTAGATAAAATTTGATCTGTGTTTTAATTGTGTATATATATTTCTTTATTTTTACTTTTATTCGGGATTAGAAAGATTCCCAGAGTTGTGGCAGTTTTGAGTAGTTCATTCTAGACAGAAATCTATATGTGGAGACTAGAGTATTGGGTGTGTAGGAAGGCCATGCTGGAGCAGTGTTTATCTGAGGCGCCACAACTTCTAATGCCATGGTTAACACAAGGCAGAAAGGTAATACTGTGAGAGAGGAATTACACACAAACTATTCCAGTAGCAGTTTGTGTTTAAAAGGTAGTGAGAACAGAGTCAGGGTAAAGTGAGGCCACGAAGCACAAATTGCTTTAATCAGTTTTGTTTAAATCAAATTCTTGCCATGGTAAAAAATTTATCACGATAAACGATTAATGATACAATAAATGCCCACATCTAAAACAGTAGTTGAAATCAGCAACACAGACACAACCCTGCTATATACCAGTGAAAACCCTCCCTGTGACATGTAGCCAGCAACGAATTGAACTGAAATGTAAAGGTGGGCATTTCTGCGGTGCTCAGTCACTACTTCTACCTCTATCTAATAAGGATTTTTTCCCCTCTACCTCATTAAATTTAAGCTTAGCTGGTGCTGTGACAGTGCAGAGCATTATTCATGACTCTGACCACTGAAGCTGAGTTGCAAGCCCCCAGCCAGACAGCGCTCATACATGACAGGCACATACAGTACATGACTGCACACTGATCTCAGAGCTGGTGTGACTGCTTATGCCTCTCTAACTAGCAATATGTTTAGCAAAAACATATTCTAATCAGGTGTGCAAAATCAAGCCAAATTCTCAGCATGGTTGGTCTGTACAAGTCTCCTTGGACCATGCACGGAAGATCCAAATCAACTGGGAGACATACTATTTAATTAAATAAGCTGAACTCTTTTCTCCTCTGAAATCCCGTTATATTTTTGTCCTGGTTGGGGGTCAGGGGGGAATAGCTAAATCTCCCAGCTATTACAAGCTCATTTGGCATCTCAGCTGGACGCATTGGTCCATTAGGAATAGTGACTGTCATATCAATAAAAAGCATGCCTCGGGATGTTGTGACACTTTGAATGTTACACTTCGAACCAGCCGTGGAATCAATCTGTTCCTTCTAGGAAAATAAAACACTACAACTCCCAACGAGAGCACAGACATGAGAGATTATGGAGGCATTTTAATTAACATGCGAGGTGAACTGCGACCTCTGCTGAGCGCCGCAGCTGAGAGCTTCGGCAATCTCACTCGGCTCCAGCGATTTTCTTCT